GCCCTTTTGTTCTGTTCCTGTGTGTGTGCCTGACGCCTGGGCTGCAGCAGCCACGTTGTGACCAGGAGGGCCGGCATGGCCCACATGCTGAGGAGGACAGAGCGGAGGGATGACACCTTTGACCCTCCCCGTTGGCTCGGGGTCACCCACCTCTCACTTCTTGTTAAGGAGGCGATCCATGTCCTTGCAGATTAAGCCACCTTTACCGGGGTTTTCTGCTGTTTGCCCCCAAAAGCATCAATGACTGTCCAGGCATGTCCCAGAGGTGTCACTGTTGGAATGCATAGCCCCACACTATCACCTAGAACAGTGGTTCTCAACCTTCCTCATGTCGCGACCCTTTAATACAGTTCCTCATGTGGTGGTGACCCCCAATTTCATTGTTACAAATTGAACATAATTAAAGCATAGTGATTAATCACAAAAACAATATGTAATTATATATGTGTTTTCCGATGGTCTTAGGTGACCCCTGTGAAAGGGTCATTCGACCCCCAAAGGGGTCACGACCCACAGTTTGAGAACCACAGACCTAGAAGCTCCCAGTCAGTGGCCCCAATGAGGATGCCTGAGGTGGATGGGGGCAGAGGGGCCACAGCTCAGACGCCACAGGTGGCTGAGGGCTTGGAGCTGAGAACCAGGGTCCCAGAAGGGACAGGGACGTGTGGGCAGCCGGTATCTGGGGTCCCAAGGACAGGGGGTGGAGAGAGCAAGAAGGCAAATCCCCCATTAATCTGGCCAGGGTGAGCGTTGTTATTGTTATTATTATGAAGTATCTCAAGGCTCACACTTCTCCTGGCCTGGCCGGGCCCCATTAATGGCCCCATAAATCCCAGCCATAAAGAGTAATGGGGGGAGACAAATGAGATAATTAGGAATAAATCTCACCGAGGTGTCTATTCAGCAGCGTCCCTGGAACTGGCCAATCTTCCGAGCCATTAGCCGGGCCCCTAATTAATGCCGAGCTGCCCGGTGCGGCTGCAGAGGCTCCGGCCTGGGAGGGACCCGGCTGCGGGCACACGGCCCCCTCAGCCCTCTGCAGGCGACCTTGGGAGGAGCGAGGGACATGTGCCCCAGCCCCCTGCTCTGCTTTGCTGTCTCCAGGGCTTACGGACGCTTTGTCTGCGTTGTCCCACCTGCCTCCTTGTCTCTTCACCTCCTCTTCTCATCTCACTCCATCTCCCGTCCACCTTCAATCTCTACTTCCCTCTCTTTTTAAAAATATATATTTTTAGAGAGAGAAAGAGGAAGGGAGAGGGGCAGAGAGATAGAAACATCATCAATTGGCTGCCTCCTGCACGCCCCCTGCTGGGGATCCAGCCCACAACCCTGGCATGTGCCCTGACAGGGAATGGAACCAGCGACCTCTTGGTTCCTGGGCCAATGCTCAACCATGAGCCACACCGGCCAGGCTAATTCTCTGACCCGGTGACTGGCCCAGGGATGAGCCTTAGCACCTTCCCTGGACGCCCTGAGGTGCCACCCGAGAAACGCCAGGTAGGCCCAGCATTTGACCCCCACCACACACCTGTCTGCAGTGTAAAGGGATGAGGCTGTCACCCAGAGAGAGGCACCCCCAGGGCTGGCAGGGATGCTACAGGTCAGGGAGAGGACGTAAAACTAGGTGAGGGTCAAGGAAGGCGGGAGGGGGGTGTCTTTCCTCTGGAGGAGGTGGAAGGTGAGGGGATGGAGGGGCAACAGGAGGGCTGTGGCCATAGGTACCATCTGTGCTGTGTCTCCTTAATCCTAGGAAAGTCAAAATGTGGGAAGGAGCATAAACATGGAGGTGACGGGGGAGGTCTGTGACCCTTGTCCCCTCTGCTGCCCCCTGTGTGGCCCGAGGTTCCTGTCCCTGCTTCCCCATCCCTCCTTGCGCTGGGCCAGTCCTGAGAGCTCCCCGCCCACTCTGCTTTCCCACTGCCCAGCCAGTGTCCGGAGGGCCTTGGGGAGCAACCCTCAGGTCCCCACTTCTGCCTCATATCCCTGGGGGATGGGGGGTGGGGACTGGCAAAGGCCCCAGGCATGGATGGCTTTAGGCAACCCAGCTTCCAGCTACTAAGAGGGATCCCATCCCCGGCAGCTCTGGAGCCAGGGGGCGGCAGGGCCTGAAGCTGGCTTTGCCCAGCTCTGGGTAGGGGCACGGAGAATGCAGTGAAATGTGCCAAAGTCCAGGCAGAAGCTGATGGAGGCTATGGATGCTGAGGGGCGGGCTGACCACCCTTCCCTCACAAGCCCTCCTCAGCTACGCGCTCAGTCGTGGGCAACAGCTCTTGGGTTTGGCCCACAAGGTCCCCAGAGCGCACAGGCAGTCCAGGCCAGGAACAACTTAATTTGGTCTGGCCATTTCTCCTCCCACACGTGTGGTGGTGATTAATGCCTGTTTTGGGTTAGACATGAAGGGGGCCCCTCAAGAAGTCTCTTGGGCAAAAGGGGTGGGTCTGCTGCTCCACAGTTGAAGGAGAACCAGAGAGGCAGCCAGATCCCCGGCCACCGCGGCCACCGCCAGGTTCCCAGTCTCACTGCGGTCCATTGCACATGTGAGGAAACTGAGGCCCAGAGAGTGCAAGGCCCTCCCTGGGGCCCACAGCGGAGCCAGGGCTGGAACTGGCTGGTTGAAGAGCAGAGACTGGGAGTCAGCGGAGAAGGGCCGAGGAGTGGAGGGGAAGGGTCTGGAGCTCAGGCTTGCCCTGGAAGGATGTCTCGGCAGCGTTGCGTGGGTGGGTGGCCTCTAAGACAAATGCCATCTGCTTCCCAGCAGCTATGAGGGCCTCCTGGGTGAGATGGGGGTGTCGGGGAAGGCGGGCAGCCTGGGCGAGGGGAGTGAACTCAGGCTCAGCGGCACCACCCAGGCTGCCCAGGGCTGGCGGTGGTTGCGGGCGCTGAAATGTGAAGTGTGTGAGGGCGTGTGTGTGTGTGTGTGTGTGAGACACACTTTGTGGAATGTATGTGAGTAGTGACTGTAAGGGGAGTCCGTGTATATGTAGGTGAATGTGTGTGTGAGTGAAAGACTGTGTGAATATGTGTGTGAGAGTGAGTGTGTGTGTGTGTGTGTGCGTGTGTGTGTGCGTGTGTGCGTGTGTGTGTGTGTGTGTGTGTGTGTGCGCGCGCGTGCTGGGGGGAGGCTGGCTAAATCCTGCCCGTCCCGCCCCCACCGGCCCAGCCTCTCTGGTTTCAGCCATGGTCCTAAAGAAAACAGCCTGCCGGGAGCTGCAGCAGGAAATCACTATTTGGATTGCAGAGGCGCCTCTTCCTGCCCCCACGGAGGGGAGAGGCCAGGGAGGGCGCCTTCCTGCCCACCTGGACCAGACCTCTGGCTGGTCCGGAGCCCCCCCCCCTCCGCCTCGCCCCCAACACACACACCCTTGGCCCTCTGGCTCCTCGAGTTCCTCAGACGCCAGCCTGGGGGAAGAAGACCCGAGCTTGAGCCCTCCCACCATTGTCTGTGCTCAGGACAAAGAGCCACAGCAGCCCAGGGGGTGGCCGCTCCCCGAGGCCCTGGGAACAGACCGGCACAGCCTCAGCCAGGGCCACCGGGAGCCTGTCAGTCACAAGGCACACCTGAGGCCCAGCACTGCCACGTTCAGGAATAGTCTCACTAGCGCTCGCTCGTGCAAAAGGACATGTTGGAACCCTGTTTACAAAGGGGGAGTCAGTGGAAGGGGCTGAGCTGGAGATGTAACTGGATTGTAGCTCATCCCTCAGCGAAGCTCCTGATGAGGATTCCGAGACCAGTGGTTAAGACACAAGAACAGAACGCGACTGTGTGTATAGGATGTTGACATGTTTGTAAAAAAAGCAATATGTGCAAATGCTCGTTTATGCACAGATCAGACTTTTGACCCTTTGGACCTTGGGCATGAAATAACTAAGCACAAACGAATACACAGAGAAACAAACACTGAGGCCTGAGAAGATGGGCTTCTCTCCTGGCTTCGATCCTGACTGCGCGACCCTGGTAGGCAGGGCGCTTTCTCTCTGTGTCCTGAGTTTCCTATGTGGTCCCAGAGGTCAGAGAGTCTGTGTTCATGTGCGTGGGGGCGGGAGGGGGCGGGGGTGGAGGTGGGGTGTGGGGTGTGGGGAGTGGGATGGTGCGAGAGATGTGGGGTGGGTGGAGGCCCTCTCACCGACTCACATTTCCTCCTGCTGTTGCAACTGCAGCCCCTGCCAAGGCCAGGCTACTCCCCCCTATGACATTCCTTAAGAGCATTACGATTTCATTTGGCCCTTTTTCTGAGCTCCCTCTGTCCTTCCAGACCACTGCAGACTGTTTCTGGAAGCAGTGGCCACCAATGTCCCCTGAGATCCCCACTTTCCAAGGCCTTCCTCAGCCATGGCTTCTCCTCGAGACCATCCAAGTCCAGCCATGAGACATCCTTTCTCTCACCCCGGGTCCCTCTGGCTTCCTCAGGTCTGGGATGGGGTGGGAGAGGCTCAGTCCAGCCGGCAATCCCGCTGTCAGCGTCCCCTGCCCCAGGGGGACCTGCAGTGCTCAGGCCTGCCCCTGCCCTGCACGCCAAGGGCCCTGCACACTTGCCTGGGAGGCCCCTGCCAGTCCAGTTTCTTTTTGGAGGTGACTGAACTGGGCCGTGACCCCCACCCAAGTCTCCCAGTGCAGCCCAGGGCAAGCTCAGGCTGTGCTGGGCCCAGGGTCACCCCTCCCCTGGACATGGCTCTGCCACAGACATAGGTGCCACCCTTGGAGTTGGAGCCATGGCTGGGAATGGCTGGAGTTCGCAGGAGGCTGGACACATCTGCTAAGTCTATGCCAAGGGTTAACTCTTCCCTTTCCGGACCTCCCTTCCCTTTGGAGGGAATAGGGAATAACGGTGGGGAGGTGGTGCCCATTTCTCCCTTAACTGAGAAGCAAGAAGAGGGAGGGAAGAAGGAAAGCCCCTCCCCCTCCCGTTCCCCCAAGCCTCAACCGGTGCTTCATAGGGGTGTGGGGAGTGTTTGCTTTTCAGAGTCGTGGTCCCTGCATGTTACTTAGAGTCCCCAGGAAATCGGAGATGACAAATACCTTTATTTACAGCGACAAATAGAACAGACCCTCCCTCCATCCCCTCTCTCCCCTTCCAGTCGTTTCTATACCCTTCCCGCTCCCACCCCGCCCAGGTCCGAGCCCAGCTCTGCGCGCTGAGGTCACTGTATGGGTCACCCCACCCCCACCCCCAAAGCCCAGGAAAGAGGAGCAGGGAGGGGCTGGCTGAGGGCGGGGTGGGCGCCTCTTTTCACATTTTGCTGCGCTCTCAGCCTGGGCGCAGCGGGAGGCGGGCGCCGGGGGCAGGGAGAGGTAGAGGAGCGCACAGCCCGCCTCCCACGCCCCTGCCCTCCCCCGGCGTTCACAGTGTTCCGCGCCGCCGTCCCCGAGCGGACCCCACCCTAACCCCCCGCCGCCAGGTCCCGGGCCGGGAGGACGGGCTCTGCGCCCCGGGCCCAGCTCCCGGGAATGAGGTGGTCCCCGGAGCGCCCCCCCCCCCCACTGGGCTGGGGTTCTGGGCGGTCACGGGCGGGGGCGGGAGGACGGGAGGGGGCCGATCTGCTGGGAGCGACGGCCCGGGCCGCCCGGAGCCTGCGGGGGGCGGTCAGGAGGAGAAGCAGAGCCCGCAGCACTCCATGCAGATCTCCAGGCAGTCGGCCGACTCGCAGCAGGCGTCCAGGATGCCGCAGTCCAGGTCGCAGGGCAGGTCGCAGTCGGCGCACTCGCCGGAGCCGCAGCAGCAGCAGCAGAGGCACGAGTCCTCGGAGCTGCAGGAGCCGCACGTGGCGCAGTCCAGGACGATGTTGCACAGCGTCAGGAACTCGCAGAACAGGCAGGACAGGATGCAGTGCACGCAGCAGTCTGCGGGGGGCGCGGGAGGGCGGGTGGGGGTGAGGCCGGGGCAGGGCCCAGCCACCGCGGTCACGCAGCGCTCAGTGCCCGGCAGCGATTAAGCTGGAGCAACCAGTGGCTCCGGGAAGTGGGGCTGTGAGGAGCCTGCTTAGGCACAGAGAGTGGCTGACCCCCACCCACCCGGTCAGCTGGCGTGGGGGGTCCGCCAGGCGTCCGGGTCCTGAGCTCTCACCCTCCCTAGTCACTTACCCAACGGGCACAGACTGATGACTGTTCTAAGTGCTGGGCATGAATTAAACTTGTTTAAACTTGCACAACTCCATGAGGTGGGACTACTATTAACCCCACTCTACAGATCAAGAAACCGGTTTGGCTCAGTGGATGGAGTGTCCGCCTGCGGACTGAGGGGTCCCAGGTTCGATTCCGGTCAAGGGCATGTACCTGGGTTGCAGGCATATCCCCAGTGGGAGGTGTGCAGGAGGCAGCTGATCGATGTTTCTCTCTCATCGATGTTTCTAACTCTCTATCTCCCTTCCTCTCTGTAAAAAAATCAATAAAATATATTTTTTAAAAAAAGACACATTAAAAAAAAAAAAAAGAAACCGAGGCAGAGAAAGCACTTCAAAATATCGCCAGAGAGCCGGGCAGCATGGCTCAGTGGTTGAGCCTCGATCTATGAACCAAGGGGGAAGGGGCGGGGGTCACAGTTCGGGTTTGATTCCCAGTCAGGGAACATGCCCGGGTTGTAGGCTCCATCCCCAGTGTGGGGCATGCAGGAGGCAGCCAATCAATGATTCTCTCTCATCACTAATGTTCCTATTTCTCTCTCCCTCTCCCTCCTCTCTGAAATCAATAAAAATATAAAATTATATATATATATATATGTGTGTGTGTGTGTGTGTGTGGCCAGAATCCTCCCACGCTGCTAATCTCTGCCAGGGCAGCTGCTTCTCCACTCCCTGCCTTTGACTCCCCCTCCAGCCATCTACACCCCACACACCAGGGCCCTTAAATACTTTGATGGGACTCTGTCCCTCTGTCCCTCCTGTGCTCAGAACCCTCCCGTGGCTTCTGCCTCACTGAGAGTAAAAGCTAAAAAGCTCAGAATGGCCCCCATGGGTCCACGTGATTGGGTTCACTCCCCCACTCTGTCCCCTGTGTCCCTGCTGTGGCCACACAGCCTGCTCCTCCTCGAGCAGGCACTACTCCCCCGCCCCACCCCCAACCTGGAATGCTCTGGCCCCAGATGAATGCTGGTGCTCATTCCCTCCCCTCCTTCAGGGCCCCAATGCCACCCTCTTTAATAATGCAACCTGCCCGCCCGCCCCAGCACCCCCATTCCGGCACCCCCACCCCCTTGCCCTGGCCTCCTTCACCTGGCCCCGGTAGGACTTGTCACTTTCCACCGCACTACACAGCTTTTCCTCCCACTAAGCTGTGCGCTCCACAGGGGCAGGCATCTTTGTCCCCAGAACAGTGCTGGACACATGGTGGGTGCTGAGTAAATACACGGTAAGTGAATTAAGGCAGGAGCCCGCTCATGGGCACCCAGCCGGTCAGTGGTGGTGCTGGGACCTGAACCCAGGCAGGCTGGCTCTGGTGTCCACACTCTGAAGCGCCCAGTGTGCTGCCAGGATGCTGAGCTGGCACCCCTGCCAGGGGCCAGGCCAAGGGGCAGAAAGTCCACATCCCCTGAGCAGGTAGCCCCTGGCACAGGCTGCTGGTCCTGTGGGAGTCTCACACTGCCCCGGAGGGTCTGACTCCCCCGGCCCTTTCCTGTGAGGGGGGAGTGGGGTCTGGTACAGCTGGAACCCTGCAAGCTATCTGCAAACTGAAGAAGGGCGTTTTCTCTTCCAGCTCTGATGAGGTCACCACCTTGCTTGAAACCCTCAGTGGCTTCCTATTGTCCTCCCGATAATCGATAATCGAAGTCCACTGGGCATAGTTTGCAAGGCATCCCCGCCTCCTGGCCCTGGCCTGGCCTGGAGTCTCACCTCCCACCATTCCTCACCTTGAACTTCATAATCTAGCCACTCCAGCCATTTCTCACCTCTTTGCTAAATCCCTCACTAGATCCTCCTTCTCAACCTTTAAGCCTTGCTCAGACTCCTCCAGGGCCTTCCTAGACTCCCCTCCCTGGCTTTCTGGGCTGGAGTGGGTGTCCCCTGGGCTCCCATAATCCCCTGTGTGTGGCTTCATCACGATTTATCACACCATGTGGTGATTCCCTGAAGTGTCTCTCTCATGAGAGCTTATGAGGCCATGGACTGGGTACCCAGCACATAGCACAGAGCCTGGTTCATAGCAGTGCTCACTACACTGTAATGAATGAATACCTCTTTCATAAATTAACTGGGCGGAATCTGCTCTGCGAAGTGGGGAGGTTTATGAATACGTATGTGCAAATGTGTGCACTGAGTCCTGTTTGCAGAGAACGAGGTCAGAGTCCCGCAACATGGACAGGAATCACTTAAAAAGTCTGGGGTAAAGGTCAAGCACCACTAAGCTACAGGCAGCTGGGACTCATGCTGAATTGATGTTGGGGGAGGAGGGAGGGGCAGTTGCTTGCCCAGCGTGGCCCTGCAGAAGGCCTGGGTGTTGCAAGAACAATGGCTGGTGTATCCAGGTTCCTGACCTCCCACTGCACCTTGTAGCCCCTGCCGACCTTCCCAATCAAGCGTCTAAATGGTGCACCGTTCTATTCTGCCAGGTGTTCTGTCTGCTCTCACTAAACAGATGGTCCACTCCTCGAGGAAAATTTCTGTTTCCAGAAACGGGACGGCTTAAGCTGGATTAGGCCACCTGGCTCCGTTCCTTGTAACAGAAACTCTGGGAGAGCAGGGGTGGGAAGGGGTTGGCCTTGAGAAGGCACATTTGCCTCCAACCACCTTTGCAAAGTTCTCAGACTTGAGTCTTGCATCAGACTCCCTGGAGGGCTTGTTAGACCCTGGCTCCTGCCCCACCCAGAGGCTCAGATCCAGCGGCCCTAGTCTGGGGCCCGGACTGGTACCCAGGAGCCCGGTGAAGACACTGCTGCTGGTCCCTGGGTCACGCCTTGAGGAACCGGCTTTGGAGGCCCCTCGAGGGAGAGGTGGGTACTCACCTTCCTGTGCCTGGAGAGGGATCTGGGAGGCAGCGGATTTGGTGCTGCCCTTGCTCTTCTTGCTGCCCTGGCTGGCGAGAGATGGGTGAGCCTGCAGCTTCCGGTGGGCCTTGGGGCCACCCAGGGCACCATTCCCCGCCCGCCTGGCGCCGCCCAGCTCCAAGGGGTGGCCAGAGCCATTCGCCAGTAGTGGGGTGCAGCCCAAGGGGTTCCCCTGAGGCTGGCCTGGAGAGATGATGAGAAAGGGGGATGGAGTTGGGAGCCCGGCTGCATTCCCCTCCTGCCTGCTTTGTCCTCATGCACCCCACAGTTCACTTCAGATGAGGAAACTGAGGCCCGAGAGCAGAACTGACTTGCCCAGAGGCCCACCAGGAAATAGCAGCAGCGTGGAGCCTGGCTCCGGACTCCCGGGCCGGTGCTCATTCCAGAAGTCAGAGGTCCAAGGGGGGCTCAGAGTGCTGGACCCACTCCTCCCGACGTGACATCCATTCTCCTGACTCGGGGTCCTGGGATTTGGGCAGGAGAGGTGGCGGTTGGGGGAGGGACCGGGACAGTCTGGCTGGGGTGGGAGGACAGCAGTGAAGTAGTTAACCTTCACTCCGGCCTCTGCCAAGCCCCCAGCTGTTTTTGCCCTTCTCCGCTGGGTGAGTTATTAGAAACATCTGTTTGGAGATGAAGGCCTGGTCTGGAATTCAGGGGCTCCTCACAGCAGCCCCTCCATCTCCTCTCCTCCATGCCCTGCCCTGTCGGCCTCTGTGGGGTGGCTGGCGAGAGTTTGCTGAGGGGCCTTGGGGTCTGGGTGAGGAGGGAGAGAAGGGAAGAGGGAGGCCAGCGGGGAGACCTCTGAGGCCAGGAGCCCCCGAGTCCCCTTCGCAGGCTGAGGGACTAGACTTCAGCTTTATCAGCGAGGTGCAGGGAAGCTGGCCCCAGAGAGCCCCCCAAACACCCAGTTCTTCCCTCACCCACTCAGGTCTGCTCACCTGAAAGGCAGTGCTGTTCATAAGCCATGAGGGCAGCTGTGTGTTGGGGGAGGGGGCTGAGAAGGGGCACTAGCACTGGGAGCCCTCAGGGCAGGACCCGGGCAGGACCCATGGGCCCGAGGGCCTCTGTAAACATGGGGAACTTCCAACTCTCAGGTGCTGGGGCCTGGTCCCCCAACTCCCCCCCGGCCTGGCCTCTGTGTTTGAACTGTGGTAGGAGGAGATGGGGGTCGGGGGGGTGGGGGTGGGCGGTGAGGGGGGCTGGAGACGGAGAAGGGAAGGCAGCCTCAGTGCCTGGCGAGGGGCTGGGCATTCTGGGAATGGCAGTAGCCACACCACGGAGCACTTACTGCTTGTCGGCCACTAGCTAAGCCCTTGACCTGCTAATTACTCTCTTGCTGGATCCTCTGGGTATTGCCCCTGGGCTGTATCCTCCCTTATGGACGAGGAAACTGAGTCCCAGAGAGGTACAGTAACTTGTCCAAGGCCCACAGCTCCTGTCAGAGGTGGACCAGCCTAGAAGCTGAAGCTCACAGGCCACAGGCAAGGAGGGGGCAGAGATTGGGAGGCGAGGGACTGGGGAACAAGCTGCTTCTAGCACATCCATCAGTAATTATGCTCATAGCTAGTGGTTGGCATGTTTTGAGCTGTGACTGGTGCCAGGCACAGTGCTAAGAGCTTTATGTGTAGTGATGTCTTTGAGTATCAGGAGAAACCTATTATTAGCCCCATTTCACAGGTGGCAAAACTGAGGCCCTGGAGGATAAAACTCGCCAAGAGTCCACGTCTAGGAGAGGGAGGGGGAGGGGATGGAGGTTGGGAGGAAGGAGCAGAAAGGTGGGGAGTCTGGCGGGATGGGAGACCGGGCTCTGGAGAGGCTCGGTGCTGGAAGCCTTCCACCCTGAGGCGTGGCTGGTGCCTGCATCTGGGTAAACAGGGGTAAGGGAAGTGGCCAGGCCTGAATCATCATGCCCCCACCTCTTGGCCCCATGGGGGTGACTGAGCTGAATCCTTGGCCGGCCTCAGTGCCCCCTGCCCTGCTGCCTAAACATGGCACAGTGACCAGAGGGCGGGCATGTGTGGTGAGCTGAGGGCCCTGGGGGGTGTGGCAGACACAGAGCTTGCCTGTGGCCAGAGCAGTGGAGTGACCAGGGGGACTGAGTCACAGAGCAAACACTCAGGGCCCATAGACACAGGAGTGACTGTCCAACTCCCACCCAGACTGGTCACTGTGCTGACCTCTTTCCCTCAATTCTGCTGGTAGGCATGTTTGGAGGGGGCTGAGGGCAGTGTGCGAGCAGGATTTAGCAACCCTACTTCCAGGGAGTCCAACTTCGCCCCAGATGCCCTGCCTGGCAGCGGCGGCTCCCGGCTCAGCGTGCCAGCCGGGTGGGCAGGCCCAGGAAAGAGCACTGGGTCAGGAGACCTGAGTCCCCCAGCTTATGTCCAGGGTGAGTGGTTCTCTGCGCCTCAGTTTTCTGGTCTGTAAAATGGGCTTGACAATAGCCAAGCTGCTGCTTGACAACAGCAGGCTGGACAGCCCTTGGGATCATTCAGGGAAAGAAAGTTGGAAAGTACAACTGTGCCTGCAGATTTGGGCATCTTAGTAGTAATTACAAATCAGTTCTGGCTGCCCCTCTCCCCTGCTCGAGGGTGAAGATGGAGAATGCTCTTCCTCCCAGAACCTCCTTGGAGACCTCAAACCAAGCCTGGGAACGAGACAGAATTTTGCTCCTTTCTGCCCAGATCAACGGGGGGCTTCTCTCCTTCCTTTCGCCCTGGATACGCTGAAGGCTAGTGCTGCGCTGGGCTCTGGCTGCCCCTCCCTGGTCCCTGTGCCTCTTTCCTGAGCCCCAGACTCTCTTGTCCTGCACCATGTTGCCGGGTTCCTGAGGTCCTTCGCCTGTGCACACTCATTTTGAACTAATGTTATACTAACCATCCTGTGCGTGGAGATCTTCCTAGACAGAAAGGACAGTGACTGTGCCATGCACGTCTCCACTGCCCACCCTCCAGGCCCGGCTCTGTGCCAGGTTCCCAAGAGCACCCACTGCAGTTCTGCCAGCCCGTCTGGACTGCATTCCCCACTGTCACCCCTTCGAGTTGCCACCCCAACTCCCCGGCCCCCTAGGACTCACGTGTCACAGCTTCTGTGGGGATGTCGAGGTCAGTGCTGTCCAGGGCCTGGGGGGCCCCAGGGCCATTGCCTTGAGGCATGGGGGGTGCCTCCTCCTCCAGGGAGCCCTCTTCTAGCACTGCCTCCACAGGGTGAGTGGGTCCTGTTCCTGCCTCCAGCCCAGGCAGGGGCAATGGGGACTGGGCTGGGGAAAAAGCAGATGAGCGAGGTGTTTCCCGTTGCCCTCCTGTGTGCCCAGCCCTGGTCCCCTCCCTGCAGCCCGGATTGCTGTGAGCCCCCATTCTTGGTCTCTTTGTACAGTTACCCAGCCTTTACCCTACCTGGCAACAGTGCCAGACTCCAAAATAGACTCCCAAACCACAGCGCGTGAGTGAGCAAGGGTGTGTGAGCGTGTGCTCGTGTGTGCCTGCGCATGTGTGTGCATGCGTGTATGTGTGGTGTCAGGAGAAGGAGGAGAAACACAGTGCAGGAGAGAACAGCCAGATGGTCAGCGATGGAGAGATAGGGACAGGCACCAGGAGTGACCGCGAGAGAGAAGGAATCAAAGGGACAGTGACAGGTAGAAGCAGAGATAGAGCAGCAGAAGGCGGGGATTGGGCACGGAAGGGGAGAGCCCCAGAAATCCAGTGACAGGCAGCCTGCGACAGGAGGGAGACTCAGCAACAGAGCGAGAGTAGCGATGGAGAGAGAGATAAGACAGGGTCAGAGGCAGAGGCGAAGGAGAAGGGAGCGCGATACAGGCTGAGCGAGAGGGAGACAGACAGTGAGAAATTGGGTCAGAGAGGGGAAGACAGCAAGAGAAAGAGTTCGAGAAAACCTAGGGTGAGGGGAAGGCTGAGGCCTGGATTGGAGGGGCAGGAGCGACAGGGAGAGGATGAGAGGGCTGGGAAGAGGCGGCTGCAGCCACATGTAATTACAGTCACCAGCTCAGCCCTCTGCACGGTGGGCGGAAGGAAGGAAGGGAGCCACCTTCAAACCCACAGCTCCCCAGGCGGCAGGCGGCAGGACTGGGCCCCTGGGCCCGGGGGAAAGGTTGGGGGGATGGGCAGTGGAGGGGGGAGTCAGAAAGGGGCCCTAGTTCTCACAGGGTGTGGGAAGGCCTGCGGGAGGTAGGGCGCAGGGGGGTGAAGGCAGGGTCACGGGGCCAAGGAGCAGACTGGGCAATTACAGGGTGCAGGGTGCAGCCTGAGCCTCCGCAGACCTCAGGCTGTGCAGTGGGAAGATGGGGGCCTCGAGAGGGTGCCCCACATGCCATATGGGGGGCAGGGAGACATAGAAACAAGAGGCTCAGAGGGACACAAACCAAAAGGGCACAGGGAGAGGAGAGGGACTCGGGGAGACAGAGAAAGATGGAAGGAATGGGCGGTGAACCCCGGAAAGTAAAATACAGCCATGCGGACACACATCACAGAGGCCGAGAGAGAGGCGCCCCAGAGGGACAGAGAGCGGCAAAACCTAGTCTTGGCAATAGAAACAGATCAACGGTGAGGAACACTGGGGCTTACATATGGGGCACCTCTCTGAGCTGTCTCCAAAAGGAGCGGGGGAAAGAGAGGAGGGAGATAATGAAGGTTGGGCATGCAGGTTCGGGGAGAAGAGAGGGGGGGACTCTCAGGGGCTCACTGCCTCCCTGGGCCCTGAGCATCCTTCTATGGCTCTTGACCTTCAGAGAGCCCTGAGCAATTCTTGTTTCCAAGACCCTGGTCTCCTATGACCAGGGGGCCAGGCCCTGGAGGCCCCAGGGGGGAGCACAGAGGGCATGCTCACTCTCACTGCTGCCCAGGGAAACACAGGCCCTGCCTGGAGCCAGGAGCCAGGGCCAGAGGCGGAAGGGGCTGGGGCGCCAGTGACTTCTGGGGGACACCAGAGTCATGTGTTGGGAACCCCTCATGGTGGCCCCTGCTGCTCCGCGGAGACGGGGTGGGCTCCGTCCAGCCCTACCCACTCTGGGCCGTTGAGAACCCCCTCACCCTGAGTAAGGAGAGAGAGGTCAGATGGCTTCTGGAAGGTCACAAGGCTGGGACCTGGGACGGGGTGGGGAAGGCGAGTGGCGATGACACGAGGGAGGAGAGGCTGCCTGCTCGATGGGCCTCTCCTCGCCCTGAGCGCGGCTGCAGCAGCTCACACGAGACGTTCAGGGCGGAGGCCCAGGTTGTGCGTGAAGGCGGGGAGCAGGGCTTGGGTCCTAATTCCCTGGAAAGAAGGGGGCCGGCAGGCTCCGGCCTCTGGCCCTGAACGGGGAGGCTGATGCTCCCTGTGGTAAAAGGAAGACTTCTGAGCGAGAAGCCGTAAGATCCACGCCCTGGTTTCCCCAGGTACCAGTTCGGGCACGTTACCAGGACTTGGGTTGCCCTGTGTGTGACGGGGGCTCCTAACGCTGATCTCAGGGGTTCAGAGAGCAATGAGAGGCTCAGCAGCGTCCTGGCCTGCGGGCCATTCAGGAGCACTTCCACCCTCCAGCCCCCCACCTGCCCTCCTCACATAACCAGGAGAGAGAATCCAGTTCAGGCACCTTGGCCTGGAAACAAAGGGACAGCTCTCCTGGGTCAGGAGGGGCAGCGGAGGGGAGCAGCTGAGTGCCCGGAGAACCAAAGGCAGAATGAGAAGGAAGAGAAGCGGCAGGAAGACCTGATCTGAGAATCAGATGCTGCCCAGAGGGCCTGAGGCCAAGATGCTGGACCAAGAAACAGCCCTCGCCAGGGCACACGGGGCAAAAAAGCCAGGCACGAGGCAAGCCCAAGTGCCCAACCATCACGAGGTGGGAAGAGCCCAGTTTTCCTTCTTGTGACTGTGGGGCTCTGCTGTCCAGGCCCCGAGGGGAGAGCATCTCTGAGGAAAACGCCCGAAGGATGTCCCCTAGAGGGTAGAAATGCAGAGTGGGCTGGAGGCAAGGGTGGCCAGCGAAGGCCTGTGCATGCGCAATTCATGTTCTGCTTAAAGGCGCCTGCCAAGGGGCAGGGGTGGGCTGAAGACCCTAGTTGTGCCCGGCTTCCTGGAGGTGCCATCGGCTCAGCCAGCTGCATACCTGCTGCATCTGAGCAGAGGGCCACCTCTTTCTAATGAGCAGAAGCCCCCAGCCCTGCACTCCTCAGGGTCCCCATGTACAAGCAGGAAGTACAGAAAGGCAACAGCCCCGTTGCCTGACACACGTTCATTCCTAACACAGGATAAGGCGCTGGTCCGAGCCCTGAGCTCTGGAGAGACAGCCGAGAAGAGGGTGGAAAAATCATGTTTAAACCCATCAGCCCAAAAGGGTAGCGTGAGAGACCCACCATCGCAGCAGGGAACCTGTGGGCTCCCTCCGCCTGCTGTCCACCAAGTGGAGAGGGTGCTCCTGGACTGAGAAGAAATGGGGGGCCTCTTCCAGGCGGGATGGGTTCGCTCCAAGGCTGGGGAGTGACACAGGGCCCCAGTTCTGGAGCTGCAAAGCCAGGCCCTGCACACCCAGCCTTCTCCACGGGCTTTGTGGACAGTGGGTCTGGGCTTCTCCCTGGGAGCTCTGACCGTCTCTGCAGAGAGGGAGGGCCAGGATCTGCTCTGCTCAGAACTCCAGCCTCTCCCTGGCCTGACATTCAAGGCCTCAGTCTAGAGACTAGACTCTAGACCAGGGGTGGGCAAACTTTTTGACTCGAGGGCCACAATGGGTTCTTAAACTGGACCGGAGGGCCGGAACAAAAGCATGGATGGAGTGTTTGTGTGAACTAATATAAATTCAAAGTAAACATCATTACATAAAACGGTAGGGTCTTTTTTTTTAGTTTTATTCATTTCAAACGGCCGGATCCGGCCCGCGGGCCGTAGTTTGCCCACGGCTGCTCTAGACCTTCAATAAGCAATGGACAAGGATTGCATGTTCCAGGCACACTGACCTCTCCATGGACTCAGGCCTTCTGACCCATCCCCTCAGGCTTAGATTGTTCCTTTCTTCCACCCCACAATCCAACCCACCCTCCATATCCCAGCTCCAGCGTCATCTCTTCCTCCAGGGCCTTCCCTGAGCCCCGAGCCAACTGTCCCACTTACTGAGAACTCAGCACTCAGCACCCCTGCTGTTCACTATAACCTGGTAGTGGAGTCCTGGCCCCTCAAACCTCTCCCCCCCCACCCCCCCCCAGCAGCCTCCCTGGCTCTGCTTGGCAGTAGTGTCACTGTTCATCTCGCACCACTGCAGGGGGGACTCAGCAAGGTCTGTTGGTGAGGACTGAGCTCTGGAGCTTGGAATCGCCCAGGCCAGGGAAGGAGAGAGAAGGAGACAGTGAGGACTGGGGGTGGTGACTGGCTCTGAACCCCAAGAAGGCGAGAACGTGGACTCTCTTGATGCCTAGTTGTGACACCCTGGTCACAATCCCAGGCCACCCGGCTGAGGACTGGAGAGGGCCTGAGCTGGCCAGTTGGGCTGGGTTGGGTTGGTTTTATTTTAGGTCTGAAGGCTCCAATTCCCCAGGAAATTCAATTTAGAACCAAGAGCAGGAATGTGACGCCCCAGTGCTGGGCAGAAATCTGCTGTGGGTTAGGGAGCCAGGTTCTGGGGCTCTCAAGGGGTGGGTGGGGAGAAGCCACTGGGGGCGCCAAGGGTGTGGGGGCTTGGCCACCTGCCCCAACCAGAGCTGCCCTGAGGCTCCTTCACCCCATTTTCATCTGACTCCGCTGAGGGAGGGCTGACTTGTTCCCTGGCTGTCCCGCCAGCAGGGCCCCCGGGGGCAGCACCCTGGCCTTGCTGTGCTGTCAGGGCTCAGCAGGGAGCGTGGGGGATTCTGGTCTCGGATTCAGGCGTCTGTGGGGTTTTGGCTGGGTCTCCTGCGGTTTGGGCTTCCTGGGCAGCAGCCTCATGCTCCCAGGGCGGCAGAGCCAGGCCTCCTCCGGTTATGAAAGCCACATTGTCTGGCTCAGCCCAGCCTGGGGAGGGGGCTCGCTGGGGTGCTGTGGGCCTCAAGTTACAGCCCCAGGCTCAACCCTCCCAGGGGTCCCCCTGGCCTTTTAGCCCCTCTTCTCCCTTCGGGACTGAGAGTGGGTGGGTCGCACAGGGAGCGGATCTTGGAAAGAGGCACTGGGGGGTGGGGGGGTGGTGGCAGAGAAAACAGATAAGCAGAGGAAGAAAGCAGGGAGTGGGAGGATAGGAGAGAAGGAGGCTGAGAAAGAGAGGAGGGGTGAGGGAAGCTGGGAAGGAGAGAGAAGGTTCCCAGCACCCAGAAAGCCTTCCGGGCCCCTGGCTCCAGCCCGCTCCAGCCTGAAGGAGCCCAGTTCTTGGAAGAGCTTATTCCCCAGAAGCCCCTGCTCCAGGGGCCCACAGAGAGGAGGGAATCTGAGGATTATGGGGGGCGCGTGCAGCGGGAACATTAGTGTCATTCATGAGCTGGCCCCTGGCCAGATATCCCCCGCTTGTCCTCACTCTGTTCTAGGAGGCCCCCACCTCCATGGCCTGGCAGGGCGGGGGGCAGAGTGCCATGGTTCTCACTGGGCAGACCTGGGAAGCTGGGACAGGCCCCCCAGCAGGCAGACAGGCTCCTATGGGCGGATGTGGAGACTGAGGCCAGAGGGGAAGGAACTTGTCCAAGGCCAGGCCGGGAGTTCGTGTCAGAGGTCCAGGACCAGACCATCCTTACTCAAAGGGGGAGAAAGGGAGAGTGGGGTGTGTGTGTGTGTGTGTGTGTGTGTGTGTGTGTGAGAGAGAGAGAGAGAGAGAGAGAGAGAGAGAGAGAGAGAGAGAGAGGCAAATGAATTAGACTCACTTAGAGCTGGGATTGAAGTCATGCAATCTGGGCTTATATTCCTGCACCCCAGCCCTCTGCCCTGAACAGATCCCACAAGTTCCCGACTTCTGACCCTGTGTTCCACTGGGAGCCTCTGCTCACATCTGTACGGTGATGGGGGAGGGGGGGGCGCTGAGAGCCACAGCCCATGGGGCTCCCACCCTCAGGGAGTCTCAAACCTCCCTGGGCAGGGAGGCTCCTGCAGGAACCCGGGGAGGTCACAGACCCTGTGAGCTGGGAGAAGATGTGTGTGTGTGTGTGTGTGTGTGTGCAGGGTAGGAGCAAAGGGGACTGGCCAGGCCCGGGTCCGGGAGGAAGGCGAGCAAGACAGATGGCAAGAAGGGGAGGGCCGGGTCCTGCGGCCGCTTTAGGCAGACAAAAGTTTTCGGGAAGCTCTGGGCTCTGGTTGGGTTGGGGGAAGGGAAGGGGAGAAAGACTCAGACACCCCCACCCTCGCCTGAGGCCCCCATAAATATTTACACACTGGGCAGAAACGGCTGGGACACAAACCCCAGGCAGACCGACGGCCTGCAGTGTGTGTGTGTGTGTGTGTGTGTGTGTGTGTGTGTGTGTCTGGTGCTGGGAGTGAGGGGAGTTAGAGCCAACTTGGCACAGCCCCGGCTGCGTTGGGGCCCTGCCCCCATCACCCCGGCACTCCACTCGTTTTGGACCCCATCCCGGATAGCCAGACCCCTGGCCCCCACTTCCACTAAAGCTCCCCGAAACCGTCTCCTCGTGTCTCAGGGAGAAGGGGGGAGAATTACACCTCCCCACCACGGAGCCTCCCACCCCGCTCCGGTCCAGCCTCCCTCCCCCCTCCCCACCCCACTCCCCCGCAACGTACCTGGGCCGGGGGCTGCGCTGGGGGCTTCATGGGGAGCGTCGCAATGAGGGGAGTGCTGGCCACTCACCTGGGACATCGGCCCGGGACCTGCGGAAAACAGGGCTCAGCGGGTGGGGCCGACCTTCCCCGCGCTGCGCGTGCCGGGACGGGGACTGGCAGGGGCGATCCGGCCGCCGGCGAGCGCCTCCTCCGTCCAGTTCGGCCACCGACGAACTTACTCGTGCAAGCTGCGCGCTCCGCTCTCGCCCGTCCGTCCGGGATCACGGCGCCGGGCCTGCCATGCGCGCCTGCCCAGGGCGCCCCCGCCGAGGGGCCACGCCGCTCCCGGTGCCCGCCCCGCGCCCCCTCCCCTCTTCACTCACGCCGCTCTCCCATTTCGGCGCCAGCTCGCGCCGCGCGCCCCCTTCCTTCTTCCTCTCCTCCCTCCAGCCCCCTCCCGCCTTCCCTGCTGGCCTCGCGCCTCCCTTCCTCCCCGGCCCACCCTCTCCCCGCCCCCTCCTCGCGGTCCCAGCGCTCCCGGCCCGCCCCCGCCCCCACCCCACCCCCACCCCGCCCCGCCCCCGCCGCGTCCCTGCCCCCGCGCGGTCGGCCGGACGCGTCTGTCCGCGGGGCGCGCGGCCCGAGCCCCCACAGGAAGCTGGCTCCACGCGTTTCTTCCGCGCTGGCAGAGCTGGGCCCGTCTCCCCAAATCTCCGCCCCCCAGACCCAGCGCCCCGAGGGGCTGCGCGTTCCCCTACGCCTGTCCTAAACTCTGCAAAAGTTTGCGCAAAGTCCGGAGAATGAGAGAGAGAGAGAGAGAGAGAGAGAGAGAGAGAGAGAGAGAGATGACTACAGCCACTTGGGCTAAATGGTCCTCGTGGCCTCCAGATCTCCTTGCCCCAAAGATGGGAGCGGTCACGTTCCCCGGACACCCTCTGCCCGCCCCCTCCGCCCCTGGGGACCCTGAGCCGGGCGCCAGGGTCCGGGGCTCGCAGAGGCCGTGCCCAGCGCAGAGGTTGTCCCCAGGAGTCAGTGACGAGCCCCCCCCCCCCCCCAGTCCTCTAGCAGCTCTGAGCATCCCCAACCCGCCCACCCCCGCCAGATGCGCGTGGGAACCTGTCAGGAAACCAACTTTGGAGGCAAAGCGCACTTCTCCCAGCTCAGCCTTTCTTTCAGCTCCGGACGGGAACCCGGGGCCTTCCGAGGTGTGGGGGGGCGGGGAAGGGGAGAGAAGGGCCCTTCCAGGCCAGGCAGCGGGGCACATCTGGAATTGTGAGCTGGGCCCTTCCTCAGGGCCGCGGGGGTAGGAAGGAAGCCGCCGACGGCAGCCCAAGGGGGTTCAGGGACCCTCCGCACGACCCCGGGACCCCGGCCCCGACCCTGCGGCCGCGGGGGGGTGGGGTGGGGACTGGGCGCGCCCGCGAGGTGACAGCGTCCCCGCCACGCCAACCGGCCGCCTCCGAGCCGCGTCCGGGCCCCGCACCGCGAGGCCAGCGAGTAATTAGGGAGGCGGCGGCGGCGCCAGGCCAGCTCGCCCCGTCCCGCGGCCGCCGGGGCTGGGACGCGGGGCCGAGCGAGGGACTTCCCCGGCCCGCGCGGTCGCTACTTACGGCGCTCGGAGGTCCTCGCGGCGCCGTCTGGGCCAAGATCGCCGGGGCCCCGCGGAGCCCGCCGCGCTCTCGCCACCCGGGCCCGCGTCCCGCGAGGAGCCCTGGTGGCTGCAGCCCGAAGAGGGGTCCCGGGCCGGGAGGAGGGGTCCAGCTCCCGGGGCCGGGCTGCCTGCTGCGGGGGCTTAGCCTGGCGCCCGGGAGCCAGCCCCGATCCAATCCGGCTGCTGTCTGGGAGCCCTGGAGATGGGGCGGACTCCCCCTTCCTGGCAAGGGCTGAGTCACCGGGACGCGCCCGCGCCCGGGCTTGGCCACTGCTGCATTCTTACCAGCTTAGGCTCACCTGGGCCCGGGGCTGGGCCTCACCCGCCGCCCAGAGTGGGGTGCAGGGTAAGGGGTGCACACTGTCTCCGGGGCAGCCCCCACCGCCTCTCTCTGCCTCCTCCCGGACCACAGACCCGAGCGCTACACCCCGCCCCCTTCTCAGTCTATACCCAGGGACCCTAAACTCCGGATCAGCCCGGGGCCCCAGCCTTACTGTCTGAAGTCGCCTGCTTGAGCTCAGAGTCCTCTGAATCTGGCCCAGTACAAACTAATATGTCTGGTTTGTTAGAAACGTAAAATATGCTTTAAATTTAATCCCACATGCTGGTTATACAAGTGTGCTCAGATTGTGAAAACTCAGCAAATTGAACGTTTAAGCTACATGTGCTTTTTGTGTGTCAAGATTACACTTGAATAAAAGTTTTTAAAAATAGCCCTGGCTGGTGTGGGGGTTAGAGCGTTGGCCTGTGCACCAAAGGGCTGTGGGTTCGATTCCTAGTCAAGGTACATGGGTTGCAGGTTCAATCCCCCAGCCCCCTTCCCCCCATAGGTAACTTCGGGAGGCAGCCAATTGATGTGTCTCTCTAACACCGATGTTTCTCTCTCTCTCTCTCTCTCCCTCCCTCCCTCCTTCTCCCTCTCCTTCTCTCTCCCTTTCCCCCTTCCTCCTTCCCTTCCCTTCTCTCTAAAACTCAATGGAGAAAATATCCTCAGGTGAGGATTAACAACAACAACAAAGCTTTAAAAAAATCAACACTCATTCAAGTCAGCACTCCAGGACAGAGCATGGTGGGGTGTGACGGCCAGGCAGTGGACTTTGACATAAGTATCCAGTTCAGATTCCTGCTCTTGGGAAAGTCCCTTCACCTCTGGGAGCCTCAGGAGGCGTGAACACTGACCTTCAATGCGGAACCCAATCATTCCATTGTTATCCGGGACCAGGACTCAGGTCCTGGGTAAGCGAGGAAAAGGGGCACTCATCAGGGTGCAAAATCTAGGAGGGTGCCAAGATACATAACACTGTAATCTAAAACTAAAACACCAAATCAGCGAATTACAGCCCTGCCAGTCAGCCACCTAGTTGTACAAATAAAGTTTTATTGGAACCAGGGTTGAGCTCAGGGTGAGCTCAGTGAGATAGGATCATGCAAGTTCTGGGTTAGATCCTGTTATTTAAAAGGTTGGCATTTTGTTCATCATGGATTCTTTTGTATTAATGTTGATTTTTAGGTATATTGCAGGAAAATCGTTTATCTTACTGATCGACTTTTTTTTTTAATGCCCCCTTAAGTTTTACACCTGAGCCGATTGTCGCGCTCACTAGGCCTTATGCACCTCTCCCTAGTGCCTGGCCTGTTACTCTCTGCCTACAGGACCTGGCCAGGACCCCAGGGTAAATGAGCAGAGGTTGGAGTTTGCCCCCCACCACACACACAGCACTGGGTGGGCTCTGTACCCGGGTCTGGCCTAGCTTTCCTGGGGTCCATTGATCAGAGTAGAATGCAGTCCCTACAATGGCCTTCAAGCTCCGCGGGCTGGGCTCTGCCTGCCTCGGCCTTTACCTCCCTCCCTCATTTCCTCCCAGCCCTGCTGCTTCCTGCGTTTGTTTTTTTCCATTTGCCTCAGTTGCTTGCCACAGGGCCTTTGCACTGGCTCTTCCCCTGCCCAACATGTGCTTCCCCTAGATATTCCTGTGGGCCCTCCTCCGTTCCTTATGGCCTCTGTTTATGTCACCTCCTCAGAGAGGCCATCCCAGACCCCTCACTCTCTGTCCCTTCACACCACTGGGTTACTCTCCATAGGCCCCATCCCCACATTTCCTATTTACCTGTTCATTGGTCGGCGGAAAGCTCCAGGAGAGGAGGGACTTTGCCTTACCTGCTGGTGCAGTCCCTAGAATTGTGTCTGCCACAAGGAGCTCAATAAGTATTTCCAGGGTCACATATGGGAGAACGAGGGGCCAGAGAGGGGAAGGGGCTAATGCATGGCACCATCCTACTGAATCCTGGGTTTCCAGACCCGCCCCCCCCCCCGCCCCGCGCCAGTGCTCTTACCATCCCCCATCCCGGGGCCCTCTAGGCCAGTGGTTGGCAAACTCACTAGTCAACAGAGCCAAATATCAACAGTACAACAATTGAAATTTCTTTTGAGAGCCAAATTTTTTAAACTTAAACTATATGGGTAGGTAGATTGTTATTAACTTAATTAGGGTACTCCTAAGGCTTAGGAAGAGCCACACTCAAGGGGCCAAAGAGCCGCATGTGGCTCGAGAGCCGCAGTTTGCCGACCACGGCTCTAGGCACCAAGGGTGACCGTGAGCCTGCACGGTCCTCCTGTACAGTCCCTTCCACACAGCGCGCTCAGCAGACTGGCCCTGCTCCAGCCCCGGCGTCCAGCAGGCATGTCCAGCTCTTCCTGGCTTCCTGTCTCTGGCATGGGGCCAGTCGGCCGGGCTGGGTTCTGCAGCTGGACCACAGCTGTAGTCTCCGCCTTATCCCGGATAAAGTCCGACAGCACGCTGTGGAGCAACCTTCCTGCAGAGGGCTGTATAGAAGGGTGTGTGTGTGTGTGTGTGTGTGTGTGTGTGTGTGTGCAGTGGGGGGCGGCTGCTGGGTAGGGACTGAGAACCTCCAACTCCCTCACGACTCCCTCCCTGACAGCCACTAATCCCCCCTTTCTGAAGGAAAGACATGATGGGGTGAGGGGAGCTCTGAGCCCAGGCCTGAGCCTGTCCCTCTCTCCTACTCCTGCAGATGGGGGATGACTGTGGTGGGTCGCATTTGGTAACTGGAGTTGGATATGCTCCATATGCCAGCCTTTGGCTTACATATTTCTAGATCTGTTGCTTCCTTTACTGCCCACACAGTTATTATCCCCATTTTACAGGTGAGGAAACTGAGGCACAGTGAGGTGAAGTGACTTGCGGGGCCATACAACTAATAGTGGGTGCCCTGGGACTTGTACCACATCTTCTGAGGCCAAGTGCAGTATCCAACCCCCCCATACAGCCTTCCCCAGGTACAGAGGACTGTGCTGCTCTTCATGTGTCCCCCACCTCCAAGCTGGCTGCCGAAGACAGAGGCATGGCCCTCTGCACCCCTTCTCTGTCTCCCTGGTAATTGGGGTACCAGGAGCTTTGGCAGAGGACAGTGGAAAGAGTGGGGCTTGGTTTGGTGCCCTGGTGAGCCAATTTGCATCCTGGCTCAGTCACTTCCACCTAACTGTGTGATTCCGGGCACATCCTTTGAACACTCTTTGCTCAGTTCTGTGTAAGCCTGCGAGGATAGTTCCCACCTCTCTGTTGGGGTACAACTGAGTGAGAACCCGGTACAACATCAGGGGCTCGCTGGCCCGACGCTTCCCGCCCGCCTGCTCACCCAGCAGCCAGTGAGCATCAGAGGGTGTGCCTGTTACTGCGAATCTGATGCACAAACCCTTAGCCCAGTGATGGCGAACCTTTTGAGCTCGGCGTGTCAGCATTTTGAAAAACCCTAACTTAACTCTGGTGCCGTGTCACATACAGAAATTTTTTTATCTTTGCAACCATAGTAAAACAAAGACTTACATTTTTGATAATTGTTTTATATATTTAAATGCCATTTAACAAAGAAAAATCAACCAAAAAAATGAGTTCGCGTGTCACCTCTGACACGCGTGTCATAGGTTCGCCATCACTGCCTTAGCCAGTGCTAGCTATGCAGCGGGTGCAGTTCACAGCCCTTCCTATGAATTAACCCAGTGGTCAGCAAACTCATTAGTCAACAGAGCCAAATATCAACAGTACAATGATTGAAATTTCTTTTGAGAGCCAAATTTTTTAAACTTAAACTATATGGGTAGTACATTATTATTAACTTAATTAGGGTACTCCTAAGGCTTAGGAAGAGTCACACTCAAGGGGCCAAAGGGCCACATGTGGCTCACGAGCTGCAGTTTGCCGACCACGGAATTAAACAGTTTAATATTTATAATATTAAAAATATTTGCAATACTAAATACCCATATTTCCCTGATTTCACAGCGGAGAAAACCGAAGCACAGAGAGGTCAAGCCACTTGCTCAAGCTCCACAGCCCTCCACAGGCTTCCCTGCAGCACCATCTTGCCTGGTGGGAGGGAGGGGCTCAGGTGCTCACTGATCCTCCACCCCCAGGGTATCTCTTCCCCTTCTTCCCGACATAAGTTAATGAAACCTGAGCTATTAATCACATATAAATGTCCTCATGCTTATCTTTTGGTGGGGCGGGGGGCACAATTCAACCCATAGCACTCCCTATTCCTCCCTCGCTGCAGCCTCTGCTAACTTCTAATCAACATTCTATTTCTGAATTTGCTTATTCTAGATCAGCGGTTCTCAACCTGTGGGTTGCGACCCCTTTGGGGGTCGAACGACCCTTTCACAGCGGTCGCCTAAGACCATCGGAAAACACATATATAATTACATATTGCTTTTGTGATTAATCACTATGCTTTAATTATGTTCAATTTGTAACAATGAAATTGGGAGTCACCACAACATGAGGAACTGTATTAAAGGGTCGCGGCATGAGGAAGGTTGAGAACCACTGTTCTAGATATTCATGTACTGTAAGTGGAATACAGCATTTGTCCTTTTGTGTCTGGCTTATTTCACTCTGCATAATGTTTTCAAGGTTCATACATGTTGTAGCACGAATTGGAACTTCATTCCTTTTTAATCCTCACCTGGAGATATGTTTTTTTTGATTTTAGAGAAAGAAGAAGGGAGAGAGAGAGAGAAACATCAATCAGTTGCCCCCTGTACGTGCCCTGACCTGGGGATCGAACCCACCACCCTCTGTTGTATGGGTCAACAACTGAGCCATACCAGCCACGGCCAACTTCATTTCTTTTATGGTTGAACTAGGCTTGGTGCACAGATGCATGCACTGGTGGTGTCCCTCAGCCTGGCCTGCGGGGATTG